AAAAAAAAATACAATGTAAAATATAACGAATTACTGCTGTGCAGCACTATGGCTGTACTGCAAAGACGTATGAAATTGAAGTGAGGTCGAGATTATTAACACCAACCTGTGCGCAAAAACACAATCAGATAAAAAAACATACGATAATATCCTTCATTATCGTCCCAGTTATCCTTCAGAGAAGCATTCGCGGCGTCTTGGTTTGAAACCACCACAGCAGCTTTTTCAAGAACCTAAACAAAAATTTAATGTAAGCCATTATACATCTAAAAAGGGAAGACAAGTGGAACAAATGGTTCACAATTAGTAACGGATAAAAAAAAATAAGAAGTTCTCTATACAAATATATGAACATAATATACAAAAGTAGCACACCTCAGGTGGCAATTCTGCATCAGTTGCAAACATATCGAATGTGGGTATTTCGTTCATCTGTTTTGAGTCCTGTTTTTTCAATGTCGGATCTTCCCCTCTTTGCCGCCTTTGTTCTTCAGCTTCTTCTTCGATAGCCTTCCTTAAAGCCTGTTCCACTTCTGACTCCTCACGACCCTGAAACATTATAAATATGAACGTTATTTACATATACATAAAACTAATCTGTCTACACTTGTTTATAGAAGTTATTAAAACATGCCTTGATATGAACCATCTTCTGTTTGAGATCACCAAAAAAATCCGCTGGAGTATCCTCCCCTGGGGATGCTGGGCTGCTAGGTACTGAAGTATCACTTTCATAGCCTTTTTCCAACTCTTTTTTTGCCTCTTCGAGTACTCTTTCTTCCGCATCGGAAGAGTTGTCATCGGTTTCATCATCATCCTGACCTTGTTCCTCAGAAACATCTCTGTCCACTGAACTAGTATCAACTTTGCCAGTTGTTGATCCTGATGTTTGTCCACTGGTAGAAGCAATAATCCTAAATCCCAAAAAACCTGTAAACTTGGTGAATCTGTAAAAATGAAAGCCATTAAAATTACATGCCCTGAATTCCTTCCATTAAGTTCCGAATCGGCCTTTTTCTCTATTTCCTGAATTATTTTCTGACGGCGTGAACGAAGCTCATTTATTTTCTTCTCTTCTTTGTCTGAATCACTCAAATCTAACGAGCTGGCACTACCATAGCCACCCGACCAATCATCGTCATTACTTCGTGTGGCCCTGAATAAAAAAAAGTATACCCGCTTCTACATTGTTGTTCTACAAAAATGTCAACGACTACATACTCTTTTCTTAGCAATGTTACAGAAACCAAACAGGCAAATTTAAACGTAAAAAAATTACAACCTATTAAAAAACCCTCGACTGCATGAAATCTTCAAACAATTTTCAAAAATTTTCAATTACATAAGAGAGCAAAAATCACTACCAAAGCTCTGTTATACGTACAATATCTTATAGACCAAAAAAATCATAAAAAAGCATTGCATTTTGCCTAGAACAGCCTTTTATCTACCTTTGATGCGAATGGTGTCCGTTTTTAGCTGACTTTCCTTTCTCTTCTTTCAACTTCGAAGATTCATGACGTGACTTTTCCTTCCTTCCTCTGGTTGAATCTCGTGAAGTTTTTCGATAATCTTTTTCACGAGAACTAGCTCTCCTACGATCTCTAGACTGTGCACTTTTCCGATGCCTTTCTCTCGAATTACTTCGACGGTGTCTTGAGCCACGAACGTCACGCTCACGTGTTCTCGAAGAAGACCGATGGCTTTTTCTAATTTCACGTGAAGGAGATCGTCGCGACATTCGGTCATCTCCGTTTGCACGCAAACTGGTGCGAGATTTCGATCTTCTCTCTCGCTGTTCAACATCGCGTGATAAGCGCCTTCTCCCCGCGCTCGATCGCGACCTCCTCCTCTTTTCTACAGACCTTGATCTACCTCGTTCGTCTTTAGAACGTGATTGTTTCCTCGCGTCGCTGGAATACGATCTTCTTCTTTTACCAGCCGACCGAGATCTACCACGCCTTTCAGACGAACGAGACCTACCTCGTTTCTCCTGTGTGTATGATTCTTTCCTTTTGACAACCCCGTCCCTGTCTCCTGAGCGTGAGCGCCTGCGCTTCTCCAAGATGGCTGCATCAGCATCACGCTCAGTTGAACGTGATCGTCTCCGTTTTTCAGCAGAGCTCTGTTTCTTCACCTCAGATGATCTAGAACGCTTCTTCCTGGATTCGTCATCTGAAGACTGTTTCCGTTTTTCCGCAAATGACGAACTTTGTTCCGTTTCAGGTAAACGATTTTTTCTCGAGAATGAGCTTGGTTCTTGCTTCTCTTCTGTCAAAGACTGAGTCTGCACACCGTTAGAAATGTGAGCTTTCTGTCGCTCTGAAGAGACGTAAGCACTGTTTTCTGACCTAGTTGCGTAAGAGTCATAATCTGAGTTCCTCCGTGTTCTTTTTGCATCCTTTTCCAGTAGTTGAGAATTGTTACTGCTGCCGCTTTCTCTTTTCGAATCTTCTGGTTTGTCCTCTAAAGGCTGACTACCCCTCATCTTATCATTCCCTGAAAAACTAACTTCGCTAGCTTTCATTCATCTATTTCGTTAAAGAATTATATGGAAAAGTAGAAATTATCGTGTTGAATAGTTAAAATGTTGCAACCTTTATCCAGTAAAGCGACAGACCTACATGTTCTTGAAATTAATACTAAAAAATTAGGAGTGATACTTAGGTATCAAAAGCTGCGGCATATGTCCACATTTCAAGAAGTCAAAACAAAAAAACATGAAACTTTCACTTTTTTCTGAATGACGCCTTTCGCCTTCTTTTTGTACAGGACTTGTCTTCACATCCTCGTCCACCGCAGTACTGTGCTTTGTTAACTCTTCAACGTCCTCATCAACTGTTTTCGACTTCTTCTTTTTAGCCTTCTTATGTCGCTTAGACTGAAAATCACTCTTAATCGGGGAAAAAAGTAAAGAAGGTTCTTATTTTCGACTGTAATTTACTTGAGCCCAAAAGAATTAAAGCAAAACAGGCGGGAACTTTCTGAAAATTGGAAAAGGCCGGGCTGTAATAAAATATGATAGAGCAAAAAAATACTTTTTTGTCCTTCTTTCTATGTTTATGCCCACCATGATCATCACCACCTGATGCATGTCTTTTCCTTTTACGTACTTTCTCGTTCACTTCGTTTGGTTCTTTCTCTTCCATCTCTTTAAACGCCTCATCGTCTGACCGAAGCTCCCGTAAGACGGACAAGCTTGGATGAACACCTTCATCGGAAAGCATCTGCAGTACACAAAAGCATAAGCAAACCAAATCAAAGAAGAAATTTGCGAATCTGCACGCACTGCTGTTAAAATTGTTCAAGCAAAATGAACAAAATCAAAGTTTTTTTAACAATCCCAAATAACCCTGACGTGTCACAGCATGACCCCTTAAAAATCTCCTCAGTTCTCGAAAAAAATCTACTTTTCAGACCAAAGTACCATTAAAATTGTGAATTACGAAAAAATTCATTGCTCAAAATAAACGAGTTGCTATGAACAACTAAGTTTAAAATCATTAGAACAGGAGTGTTTAAATGGTCCGTCATTGCGGCCAGTGATTCTTTTGCAATGTCATAGTACAAAAAAAAAATAATTTCTCTATTCTTCCTTCTTCATATCTTTTCCACTGAAAATTATAAATCCAAAAAACCAAATCACCACGAATATTCTTCCAAAAAACCTCAACTAGACTGAACTTTAATTCGTTGAAAGCTTCTGAAACCTAAAATTCAACGAGATTTATAAAAACATCAATACTTAGTGAACAAGTTTTCCATTTGCCACAAATCGCATGTGACCCGTTCAAAAAATTCAGATAGTTAAAGGTGAGAAGACATGGATTTACGCAGCGGCACCCGTAAATCATGGAGATGACATTGAAATCGTCACGAATCTAAATTAAGACTTTAAGTCAACAGTAATATGAGCATTATATAATGCAGTTTTCAGAGAGAAAACCCACGAGGTTATTTAAAGGTGGTGCAAAACCGTGAAAACCAAAACGAAAGATGGGTATAAACTTCTGTTCTAAGCAATTCTTGCTCAAAGTTCCACAAGTTGATAAAACAAATTCACTTTACAGATATGACAATGCTTTCACTTTTAAAATAATAAGACTTCTCCTTCGAAAAATGAAACAAACCTTTTGCTTCGCGTTAAATAACTTTTCCTTAAACAAGCAAAATGCTTCATAAATTTTAATACAGACACGTTAACCATAACTGAATGCATTAAAATTCATGAGATTACAGTTAAATGCCTGAAAATGATAAAATGTTTCTGATTAGTCCTCCGCATTTCAACTATACTGAGACCACTGAAGCTGTATAAGCGTCTATACTGATAGGTTAAACAGAAAACAAATAAGCAGACTGCACTGAACGGTGCTGACAGGCATATCCAGTTAGTAAGAACTATAATAATCAAAAAAAACTTAACTAACAAAAAATTCGAAGTCTACAAAAAAAAAGAAAGCCACCTGATAGGCCAGCTATTCTTCCGAATCTCGAGAAGTGAAGAAACAAAAAGGGCCCACTTTCCATCGAAACAATGCGTCAAACCTCCCGCGAACAAACATGCAATTTTATACTT